CATACAGAGTATAGAAAAACCAAAAGTGCAACTGTTAAATCTAACCTGATTTTTATTTCTCTGTAACCCTCAGGCCAATGTGAAATCTACAGTACATAAGTTTTTAGGTCAAAGAAGACTACTGACTCTCACAGTTCTAGAGATAGAACCTAGACCCTTGTGCGTGCTAGGCAAGCTATCTATCACTGAGCTATTCCCTCAGAAAAATTATTTTTAACTTTTATTTTTACATTTTCTATATATGCATGTAACAAATCTATCTGTAAGTACTTTGGGAACCCAAATTTATAATCTTCCAATGTCATTTCAGTCCTCTAGCTTACTGTTATTTTAGGTTTCAGAAATAGTAAAACATGGGACTGAAGATTTAGCTCACTGGTAGGATGCTTGCCTCGCATGCTCAAGGCCCTGGGTTTGATTTCCAGCACCACAAAAGAAAAGAGGAAAAAAAAAGAAATGGTAAAAGTGTATAAAGTAAAATATACACCTGTATGTATATATATACTACTTCCTTCTTTCTACATGTATATTATATATATATATATATATATACACACACACATATATAAATTATACATATATAAAATATACATATATAGAATATACATATATATTTATAAATATATATACACCTATATATAGAATAGGTAATATGTATATAAGGTAAAAAATTAAACAGCACAAAAGAGTATGTATTAAAAACCCAAATTTCTGAGGTGGGGTTGTAACTCAGTGGTAGAGCGCCCTCCTAGCACGTGTGAGGCACTGGGTTCAATCCTCAGCCCCACTAAATAAATATAACAAAGGTATTGTGACCACTACAACTAAAAAAATATTTACCTCCCCCGCCAAATTTCTACCATGTGTTCCAATGACCTCCCAAAGGCAGTCATGCCCCTGAGACCCTGGCACCCTCGGGGTGTCTGTGTGTGAGCCAGGTCTGCTGGTGCATGCCTGTGATCCCAGCACCTCGGGAGCTGAGGCCCTGAATGGCTCAGTGAGAGCCTGAACAAGGCGCTGGGGTGTATCTCAGTGGTAGAGCATTGCCTAGCATGTCAGAGGCCCTGGGTTCCACCCCCAGCACCACAAAATAAATGAATAAAAAATGGATAAACAGATGAATTTTTAAAGTGAACAATAATCTAATGGTATCTGTTGAACTGTATTCAGAAACATTCTGGGAATAGCTAAGCTGTTTCGTGACTATTGGCTTTTCCACTCTACATAAAATATAAAATAGGGCTGGGGATATGGCTCAGTAGCCCAGGGCCCCTGAATTCAATCCCTGGTTGCTGAGAGCCATTGCCAAGTAGGAATGACACATGGCAATTTCTTTGTCAGCCTACCCAATGTTGCTTACAGGAAGGACTCTCCATATTGACCCAGGTCATTTGCAGTGACATTGCATGTAAGGTGACCTTGCTCAAGGACCAGGGCGGATCAGGGTTTAGGGCTCTCCTTGGGTTTAGGGCGGTTCCAGGTTTAAGGTGTACCCTGCTGGGAATAGGGTGTATCTGCTGCCTCAGGTTCGCCCGCTCCTTGAGTTCCCATTGAGTTCTCACGGGATTCAGAGAGTATTTGGGATCCAGAACGTGGATTGGGCCCAGAACGTGGATTTGCCCAGAACGTGTGTGTAAGTGCCAGTGACAGTTCAAGAACAAAGAGTTGCTATTTGAATCTACAAGGTGTGTGGTGGCTCGTGATTTTGTGCCCAGCCAGACTGCGGCATTTGGTGGCCTGTACGCGGAACGTCTGAAACTTGAAGGTAAGTGAAATTGCTCGCTTCTGAGGGAAGGCGAGAGAATGGGTGACCATTTCAAAAAACAATGTGTTCTTGTTTTGATTTATTTTGTTTTTGTTTCAAGGTGCCTATCCCTAGAAATTTCTCAGGCAAACTGGGAAAAATGGTTGGCTAAAGGTTTGAAGTTTGTCGGCCCTGAGGAAGAGAAAATTGACACAATGATTTTTTATTCCGTTTTTGTTTCATTCAGTTTCGGTTTTGTTTTGTGTTATCTTATTGGGTTCCGTTATCTTTATACTAGATTAGAAATTAGTAAAAAACAAATGGAAAAGGTGTTAAGTAAATTGTTAGAGGTTCAGACCATGGAGAAAGACATTTTATTTTTATTTTTATTTATAATTTTTAATATTTATTTATTTTTTTAGTTTGTTTTCGTCGGACACAACATCTTTGTTTGTATGTGGTGCTGAGGATCGAACCCGGGCCGCATGCATGCCAGGCGAGCGCGCTACCACTTGAGCCACATCCCCAGCCCCGAGAAAGACATTTTAGATCAAGCAAAAGAAAAGGTCTCTCAAGCTAATCAGACAGGGGAAGAAAATTTAAAGGAAAAGGGGTTATTAGGAAAAAGGCCACAACAGGAGGCTGTTACTAACTCCGTTTTATCACCAGAGGGCGTAATTCAACCAACAGCCCCACCTATGGAGACAGCTGAGTGGCCCTCAAACCTCGTAGTGGATAAATGGGATCCTGAGACAGGACCTCAAAGATTAGCATGCCCTGTACTTGAACAGGTAGGAGGGCAGCGAATTCACCATGCTTTAGATTTTAAAACAGTGAAGCAGTTAAAGGAGGCTGTAACAACCTATGGTCCCCAAGCACCCTTCACGGTAAGCATGGTCGAGTCCATTACTAACTTGGACATGACGCCAGCAGATTGGGCTAGCATGTGTAAATCTGTGCTAAATGGAGGACAATATTTGTTATGGAAGGTTGCCAATGAGGAATTATGTACGGAGACAGCTAGGCGAAATGCAGCAGCCGGTTACCCTCAAAGAAATCTAGATATGTTGTTAGGAAAAGGACCTTATGAGGGTCAACGGCAACAAATTGAATATGATCCTGCCATATATGCACAAATTGCTGCAGACGCAGTTAGGGCATGGAAGACTTTAAAAGGACATGGAGATTTACAAGGTCAGCTATCTAAGGTAATACAGAGAACTAAGGAACCTTATGCTGAATTTGTAGATAGGCTTCTTCAAACAGCTTCCAGAATTTTTGGGGATACAGAACAAGCAATGCCATTAATAAAACAACTGGCTTACAACCAAGCAAATCGTTGCTGCAGAGAGATCATTAGACCATGGAGACATGAAGATTTAAACACATATATTAAATTATGTAGAGACATTAATGAACAAGGGCAAGTCTTGGCAGCTGCAGTACAACAGGCTTTAGATGCCAGGCCAAAAACATGCTACAATTGTGAACAAATAGGACATTTTAAAAGGAGTTGCCCCATAGGAGGAGGGTTTAACAAAACTAGGTATCAAAGGAATAGAATACTGGGTTTTTGCCCACGAAATAAGTCCTTTTAGTGTAGATGAACTACGTCCCAATAATAAGCAATGTCTCTGTAGAGGGAGACATTGGGCTAATGATTGCCGTTCTCAAACCGCCATAGAGGGTACTCCCTTGTCAAAAAACGGACAAGGACCAGGTATTTACCCACGATATCGTGGAGGAAGGCATCAGGCTCCATTGCCAAAAAACGGACTGGGGGGCCCAATGCTCGTGGGCCCAATGCTCCGGGGCCCACAACCACAAATATACGGGGCAGTGGAGGAACCCAGCAACACCATCAGGGTAGTGCCCAGGACACATTGTCCATTAAATCCCTCATCAGACAAACCCGAGGGAGTACAGGGTTGGACATCTGCGCCTCTGCCAGAGCAGTACTAACTCCAGAGATGGGAGTTCAAATCATTCCCACAGGAGTAAAAGGACCTCTTCACCAAGAAACAGTAGGCTTATTATTGGGACATAGTTCATCTACACTACAAGGACTTATGATAAGTCCTGGGGTAATTGATCCCGATTATGTAGGTGAAAAAAAAATTATAGCTAGTTCTCCAAGAGGTATATCAGTAATTTCACCAGGAGATAGAATAGCACAGTTATTAATAATACCCAGCCTGCATGATAAATTTTCTAGTCATAGTGTAGAAAGAGGTTCCAGGGGATTAGGCTCCACAGGTGTAGATTGGGCTATGCTGTCTTTAAATTTAGATTCTCGCCCAATGCTAAAACTAAATATTCAAGGACATGAGTTTCATGGACTACTGGACACAGGTGCTGACCTTAGCATTATATCTCGTCAAGAATGGCCAAAACATTGGCAATTACAACAAGCCACTCAAACGCTTCAAGGCCTAGGAGTGGTGACTAATCCCCATAGAAGTGCAATGATATTAGATTGGAAGGATCCTGAAGGATGTGAAGGAACTATACAGCCATATGTATTGGATCATCTTCCTATAAATTTATGGGGACGAGATGTCCTAGATCAATTAGGTTTGACGTTAACAAATAACATCAATCCTAATGCGCCCACTACTAGGGCTTGACAAGGTTTTAGGGAAGAAAAAGATTAGGAGAACAAGAACAAGGTATAGCAGCACCAATACAAATAGATCAAGGAACAGACAGACATGGGTTGGATTTTCAGAAAGGGCCACTGAGACAATCAAAATTACTTGGAAATCAGAAAGACCAGTGTGGGTCCCTCAGTGGCCCCTGACTAAAGAAACGATACAAGTAGCCCATGATCTGGTCAAACAACAATTAGTGGAAGGACATATACAACCTTCCGTATCTCCCCATAATACTCCCATTTTTGTCATTAAAAAGAAATCTGGTAAATGGAGATTATTGCAAGATTTAAGAGCCATTAATAATGAGATGGTTATTATGGGACCTGCTCAATCGGGGATTCCTCAATTGTCTGCTTTGCCAAAAACCTGGTATGTTTTAGCTATAGATATTAAAGATTGTTTTTTTTCAATTCCAATTCATCCCGAGGATAGTCCACGTTTTGCATTTACTATCCCTGGGGATAGTAAATCATGAAGGTCCTGATCAGAGATATGCATGGAAAGTACTCCCTCAAGGGATGGCTAACAGTCCAACTATGTGTCAAATCTATGTTAACAAAGCAATCCAGCCACTTAGAAATCAAAATCCTGAACTACAAATATTTCACTATATGGATGATGTATTATTAGCACATAAAGATAAAAACACATTGCTGGAATGTTATGCCACACTTACAAACTTATTAAAAAATTATAATCTAGAGATAGGAATAGATAAAGTACAATTAAATTTTCCAATTAATTATTTAGGAGTTCTATTATCCTCAACCATGGTCCGTCCATCAAAAATTCAAATACAAGTAGATCAACTCAAATCACTTAACAACATTCAAAAGTTATTGGGAGACATAAATTGGATAAAGTCTTATCTAGGCATACCAGCAGGAGAGTTGGGACCTTTATTTGATATTCTAAAAGGTCCATCAGATCCAAATTCACCCCGAATGTTAACTCCTAAAGCAAGAAAGGCATTAAAAATTATTGAAACACATATGGAAAATATGCATTTGGATAGAATTGATATAAGTTTGCCTTTATTATTTATTGTACTACCAACAAGAAATATTCCTACAGGAGTATTTTGGCAAGAAGGTCCATTATTGTGGATACATTTATCTTATTCTCCTAACACTATTCTTACTAGGTATCCTGAGGCTGTAGGACAATTAATACTCAAAGGAATAAAAGCAGCAAAGGGAGTGTTTGGAATTTCTCCCAATAAAATTATTACTCCATATACTATGGATCAAATTCATGAGTTAGCTAATGAGTTAAATACTTGGGCAATAATCATGTGTAAATCTAATATTTCATTTGATAATCATTTACCATCTAATTCTTTATTGTCTTTTTGGTCTAAGCATCCTGTAGTTTTTCCTAAAATGACAAGAAAAACACCTATCATGAATGCTCCAAATATATTCACTGATGGGTCTAATAATGGTACAGCAGCAGTAGTTACCCCTGATCAAACTTTTACATTTTTAGTACCCAAACAATCAGCTCAAAAGGTAGAGCTTAATGCAGTTTTACAAGCTTTTGTGATGTTTAAAGATTCTGTATTTAATTTATTTTCTGATAGTCAATATATAGTTAATGCTGTTGTATCCCTTGAAGATGCTGGTAGGATTTCCCCTTCCTCTACTGTTTTCTCTTTGTTTTCCACTATACAAAGTCTAATCTGGGACAGAAAAGATCCATTCTTTATAGGACATATCAGGGCACATACAGGATTGCCTGGAGCCCTTAGTTTGGGCAATGATTTAGCAGATAAAACTACACATGACATACATATTTTCTCTACACTAGAAGAGGCTACAAATTTTCATAAAAGATTCCATGTTAATGCTAATACTTTACAAAAGCGTTTTAAAATAAGTAAGGAACAAGCCAGACATATAATAAAACAATGTCAAAATTGTGTGACCTTTTTACCACAAGTTAATCTTGGAGTCAATCCTAGAGGACTGATACCTAACCATATTTGGCAGATGGACGTCACACACTTGCCAGAATTTGGAAAATTAAAATATTTACATGTTACAGTTGATACTTCTTCCGGATTTTTGATGGGCTCCCTTCATGCTGGAGAAAAAACTAAAGATGTTATAGCTCATTGCTTACAAAATTTTGCCACTGTGGGCGTTCCTAAACAGTTAAAAACAGATAATGGTCCTGGTTATACCTCTACCTCTTTTAAACAATTTTGCTCATCATTTGGTAATACTCATATAACAGGAATCCCATACAATCCACAGGGACAAGGCATAGTTGAAAGAGCTCATCAAACTATTAAAATGTACTTATTAAAGCAAAAAGAGGGAATTGGAAAAGGGTATACATCCCCCAAAGATAAACTTAAAATAACGCTTTTTACTCTAAACTTTTAAAATTTGGATTCATCAGGACTTAGTGCTGCGGAAAGGCATATGTATCCAAAAAATGTACATAAGCCTAAGGTACTTTGGAAAGATATTCTAACAGGACAATGGAAAGGTCCCGACCCAGTGATTGTCTGGAGTCGGGGTTCTGTTTGTGTTTTTCCACAGACAGAACAGCAGCCGATTTGGATTCCAGAGAGATTAACTAAAGCAATTTCTACAGACCAAAAAGAAGATGCTTAGACTCAAATCCATAACAGCTGATATCCAGGGCTCCAGCTTGGCTATTCTTACATCTGCGACAGTGATTAACCAGGGTGCTTTTTTCAATATCTATTTTATTATTGCATTTTCCCACATCATAAAGTTCTATTTTTTTTTTTTTTGAGCTCATACAAACCTAGGTTAATGTTTTTCTGATCAGTTTTATTTTTTCACTGGATTTTTTAAAAATTGCAATGGAGATTTCACCTAGGTAAAGCTACAAGGCCTTTACTATTGTCTTATGTGTTGTACATTTGTGTGCACATTTGTGTTTTGTGTTGTTATGTCTGTATGTGCGTATGTCTATAGATCATATATGAGGAGCGCTCATGAAAAAATGGATCCGAATTATTTTTTTTCATTCACGTGATTTAAATGGTTTAATTTAAATTAGGTAAACAGCTATTAAGGATTGTTTTTAAAGGAGGTTAACAGATCTGTTTGTTTACTTTCACCTTTCCTTTTCATTATATTTAATAATTCTGTTCAGGATAATGTCTCTTTAGCATCTTTGCCAGAATTCCCATCTCCATCCCAGTGCCGGTGAAGACTTAAGATAAAGCCAAACTACAGCTTCTATGATAGCTATAACAGTAAACTGTATAAACTGATGCATCAATGAATATAACTCAACAAGTAATGCTCAATCAAGGACTCGATTTACTTTGGGAGGAAATGGACATATTGATAGACTCTTCTGCTTTGAACTGCTTGCAGAACTTGCCTGGACTATGTATCACTTGTATGCATTGTGAACTATCATTTGGTGCAGCGAATTGTGGTAGTGCTGGCATATCTTTGCTGATGGTGTCACCAGTGATGCAATTTTTCCAAAGGAGCCGTCAATTGGCTTGGTGTCGTGGCATTTGTGTATCCTCCCTTCTGCTAGTAATGGTCTAAAATTTGGGGGCCAACAGAGGTGAGGCAAGAACTTCACCCCCCCACTGGCACCAAGGCCAAATTTGGGGGCCAACAGAGGTGAGGCAAGAACCTCACCCCCCCACTGGTGCATAGGCCTATCCACAAGTATGGCTATATGCTGGACCGGTAGTCAGTGACGGGTATGATCCAATTGCAGTGGTATCAACCTAAGACAGGAGGCTGACGCCTAGAGGTCAGTTTTTCCCATGACGGGTAAGAACCACATGTTGAATTGGACAACCTACCAGGCACGGTCCTTAAGCCACATTGCTTGTTGTTTAATTAATCAGAAGGGGGGAGATGCTGAGAGCCATTGCCAAGTAGGAATGACACATGGCAATTTCTTTGTCAGCCTACCCAATGTTGCTTAGAGGAAGGACTCTCCATATTGACCCAGGTCATTTGCAGTGACATTGCATGTAAGGTGACCTTGCTCAAGGACCAGGGCGGATCCAGGTTTAGGGCTCTCCTTGGATTTAGGGCGGATCCAGGTTTAGGGCTCTCCTTGGATTTAGGGCGGTTCCAGGTTTAAGGTGTACCCTGTTGGGAATAGGGCGTATCCTGCTGCCTCAGGCTTACCAGCTCCTTGAGTTCCCGTTGAGTTCTCATGGGATTCAGAGAGTATTTGGGATCCAAAACGTGGATTGGGCCCAGAACGTGTGTGTGTGTGTGTGTAAGTGCCAGTGACAGTTTGAGAATAAAGAGTTGCTGTTTGAATCTACAAGGTGTGTGGTGGCTCGTGATTTTGTGCCCAGCCAGACTGCGGCACCTGGTATCCCCCCAAACAAAAAAATTGGAAAAATAAAGCCAAGCAAAGTGGCACACACCTGTAACCCCAGGTATGTGTGAGGGATGGAAATCCTGGAATTGGGCTCCGAGTGACTCACTGTCACTTCTTCCTTCTTTCCAGTGTGCTGTTATTTTTCCTCAAAATACAAACAGATTAGAAATAATCTTATCTGCAAACTTTTCTGAAATTACTTTTCTTCTTCTGTTATTGCTATCAAGGAATTTAAATTCTAAATGAAGATTTTGATCATTAAAATTGGAAAAATAGGTGGGTACACTAGTACATGCCTATAATCCCAGTGGCTCAGGAGGCTGAGGCAGGAGGATCATGAGTTCAAAGCCAGCCTCAGCAAAAGCAAGGTGCTAAGCAATTCAGTGAGACCCTGTCTCTAAATCAAATACAAAAATAAGGCTGGGGATGTGGCTCAGTGGTCAAGTGCCCCTGAGTTCAATCCCTGGTACTCCCCCCGCCCACCAAAAAAAAAACTGGAAAAATAAAGCAAGGCATGGTGGCACACACCTGTAATCCCAGTGACTTGGGAAGCTGAGTTAGAGGATCTCAAGTGTGAGGCTAGCCTCAGCAACTTAGTAAGAACTTGTCTCAAAAATTATAAAAAAAAAAAAAAAAGAAGAAGAAGAAGAAGAAAAGATTGGGAACACAGCTTAAGGGTAGATAGTACCCTGAGTTCGATCTCTAGTACAATTTAAAAAAAAAGAAAAGGAAGAAAAAAGTCTGTGTATGCAGGTAACACCAACCACACACACACACACACACACACACACACACACACACGTGTGTGTATATTTCCTTCTCCTAAGAAAAACCAGTGCTCAGGGGAGTCAGCCTGAGCCAGCAGGAGGAAGAAAGAAAAAAAATCACTCCATCTTCGAAGATATCCCATATCAGTATAGTTATTTGTACTGGGGATTGAATCCAGCAGTGCTTAACCACTGAATGACATCTCCAGCCTTTTTATTTTTTGTTTTGAGAAAGGGTCTTGTTAAACTGTTTAAGGTCTCACTAAATTGCCAAGGCTGGCTTTGAACTTGTGATCCTCCTGCCTCAGTCTTCTGAGTTGCTGGTATTATAGGCATGTGCCACCATGCCCAGCTCTCAGAACATTTTTAAAAATAATTTTTAGTTGTTAATGTACCTTTATTTTTAAAATTTATTTATATGCAATGCTGAGGATCGAACTCAGTGCCTCACACATGCCAGGCAAGGCTCTGCCACTGAGCCACAGCCCCAGCCCCTCTCAGTACATTTTTTGTAAATAAAAAACACAAAACAAAATTGTTTCAGAGCCTAGAAGAAAGCCTAAGTAGATGTTCTCAGATAAGTAAAGATAACAAGAAAAATATGAGGACCTGATCTGTCCCTCCATTCCTCCTTCATTGACTCATCTAACATGTTTGAAGGTTCACCACATGGAAGGCATGTATCGGGAGTATAAAGATGAATTAGAAACCATTTCAACCTTTTAGGAGCCACAGAACCTCAGGGAAGACACCTAGACAACTGTAGTGCAGAGTGATACGGCATCACAACACACAGCAGCAACACATAGGATTAAGTGACCAACTCTACTCTGCCAGGAACAAAGGCTAAGTAGCATTAGCTCAAATAGTGCCCTATGAATGCCTACAGCGATCCTTATTAGTCAGGGTCTCATTGGCTAAGTTCCAACAGTTCCAAGATTTCAATAAGCAGTGAAAGTTATCCTAACATGTTTACCAAGAAATCAATTACTCATAAAATTATTTCTCAAACATCATTCCTTACTTAATATATTTTTTTTTTTTTTTTTTTTTTGCTACCTGGGATTGAACCCAGAGGTGATTAACCATTGAGGCACATCCCCAGGCCTTTTCATTTTTTGAGAAAGGGTCTTTGTGGGAGACCAACCTTGCACATGACTGAGTCACACTCCCTGGCTGGGTGTGGAGTCTGAGGCCATCACTGAAGGACAGGTGCTCAGAGGAAGCCAGTGCTTCTTGGGTTCCAGGGATGGTGTCTCGTGCATGGGTGTGGCTTCCTACAGCCCCATGGATGGAGTTACACTCACCTGTTCCTTTGTAATATTACCCCTTGCCCTGTTTGGGATAGAATCTTCCATGGAAACACCTTTTGTGTGTTCCTTTCTCTTACTGTGCCCTTGGGTGTGGCCTACCTAGATGTCAGTCAACCTGCTGACAGCAGACATCATAAAGCTGGACTCAGCCCCCTGACCTGACCCCTTGCCTCATTTGAATAGCTTCTCCTCAATAAAAGGGGTCAGCACGTGCTCGCTCTCTCTCTCTCTCTTCGGACCCTAAAATCAGAGGAGCCGTCACAGCACTCCCAAAAGAAAAAGGTATCTCTGTCTCTTGTGTGGTTATTTTGCACAGCCCAGTTAGCCCAACTCCCCTGGAGTGACCCCTGAGTATTTTAGTCGCGAGAAACTCGGCAGGTCTTGTTAAGCATCTTGGGGTCTCACTAAGTTCCTAAGGGTGGCTTTGAAAGTGTGATCCTTCTGCCTCAGCCTCCTGAACCATTGGGATTGCAGGAGTGCACCACCACATCAGGCCCAATCCCTGCTTCCCCCAAAAGTAATAGTATATTAGCAAATCTGATGAGAAAGCACTAGAAACCACCCCAAAGGAAATGTGGAGAGGAGAGAGTTCACCACAGACTCCACTCCTCGGAGATGAGCTCCGCTGTGCTGAGGGGTGAGGGAGGTGGGAAGAGCCCAGGCTCAGGGCAAAGCTGGCCAAAACCCTGCCGCGTGTCTGTGAGGCCCCTGGGGGCCCCGTCCCCATCAGCCCCACTAGACACTCCACAAGGACTTTCACACTGGCCCTCTGCTCTCTGCCCTCCAGCTAGTCAGTCCCCGAGGTAGTCCTCGGTCATTCTTTCCCACAGGACTCCCAGCACTGGCTTCCTCTGGGCACCTGACCTTCAGTGATGGCCTCGGACTCCACACCCGAGTGAGGCCTCCAGGTATCTTCCTCAGGCAGCTTCTTCTTCAGAGGCCCACCAGCCGCTGTCCTCTGAGGGGAGTCTGGGCTTGTTACCGCAGTTCGAAGTCCCAGCCGCGTGGACCAGATGACCTGTGGCTTCCAACTTCCATTGTACTGCCTCTTTCTTCACTAACAAGCACAGAGCATGTGCTGCAGCAGTGCCATCATATCACCAGAGATCAGTTGCTGTCAGTCAAGTTTCAGAGGCAGGTCACCACCGACAAGCACACCCTGTCACCTGCTTCTTGAACTTCCAGGTTGGACGTCGATGTGGTTAGAGTAAAAGCACCGTGGAAGGGTGACTTCAGGAGGTCTTACCAGAAGCAGCCAGTTGGCTCGTCTCCATGTTCAGAGCCCATGGAAGGAATCACACACCTGAGGTTTGAGAGAACACTGAGAACAGACCACAGGGAGACACGGCTGGGCTGCAGCTCTGTGGTGGGCATTGCCAGCACCTGTGAAGCCTGGGGCTAAATCCCAGGACTGCAAGGGGCAAAGAAGAGGAAGATGAATGCCTGCCCAGGAGAGCGCCATCTGCACCACACCTGAGGAGGGCTTTCCCATGCAGACAGGCCCTGCCCTCCACGGGGCACAGCGCCTAAGCCATTCAAGACCAACCTGGAACAAGCTGTGTGCCTCCACCAGCGTGGCTGTGTTTGTGTCCCTCTGTGAATAAGATCAAGGTCTACAGCATGGAGCACCACTCAGGTAAGAGTAACAGTCCAGACAGCGGGAAGAAGGGGGTTACTGGCCAGTAGCAGATCCTGGGAGCCCTGGGTAAGCATGATAATTTTAGGCTTCTATTAGAATTGCCTTGCCTCACCTGGGGAAAAAAGAAGGCGGGATTTCATTGTTAGGTCTTTGAAGATTTCCTACGGTCCCTCTAACTCCAGCGCCACAAGAACTCACAGACAAGTTCAAAGCCAGCTGAGTTCAAAGCAACTTAGTGAGACCCTGTCTCAAAAAATAAAAAGGCCTGAGGATGTGGATCAGGGAATGAACATCCCTCGATTCAATCTCTGGTTAAGCACACACACACTCACACACTCTCTCTCACACACACACACGTGTGTGTGTGAGAGAGTGTGAGTTCTCATATATATATTTTCAAATGTGAGACTGGCCTTGAACTTCGGATCCTCCTGCTTCATCTTCCCTAGTAACTGGGATTACCGGTGTGTGCCACTGCACCTGGATTTATGAAATGCTTTTCATAAATGTATTTCTTTGATTCTAAGATGGATTTCTTTCCAATTTTAACATCTGTAAAACATTCGCCTGATAACCATTTATGTGTTGTGGTTTAATTAGCACTTTTTCTTTAGTAGCATATAAAAATCATGGTGTATCTTATAATTAGCAACATGCTGGACATGAATTGTGTGCCAAGCACAGCTTTAAATTCTTTATGGTAGTCTCTTTCTCATTCACTCCTCCTAAGTTTCATGCAGCTTGTGTTATTCATTTTAGTGATGAAGAAACTGAGGTCCAAAGATGTTAAACTATATATATATATATATATATATATATATATATATATATATATATGTTCAAGGATTGATATCATTTAAATGGTAAAAATAAAACTGAAAATCATGCCTGACTTCAAAGGTCATGCTCTTATCATATCAATATTTACCTTGTGTGATACAATGTTGAATAAAGACCTATCCTTGGGCTGGGAATGTATCTCAGTGGTAGAGCACTCCATAGCATGCCACAGGCTCTGGATTCCGTCCCAGGCAAAGCAACAACAACAAAAAACAAACAAACAAACAAAAAAAAAAAACAGCAAAACCCCAAAACAAAACAAAAACCACAAACAAATCCACATTTACCCTTATCTGAACTGCTACTCAAATCAAGGTCTAGCCTAAATGTCGTTTTTGCTATCTTCCCAACTCCTCCAGAAAAAAAAAAAAAATCTTGTTCTCAGCTGTGCTTCCCTAAGTTTTGTGTGTGTCACTGAGCTACCTCCTCAGTCCTTTTTATTTTGAAACAGGGTCTCTTTATATCACCCAGGCTGACCTCGAAGTTGAGACCTTCCTGCCTCGGCCTCTAAGTAGCTGGGACCCCGGGCGTGGGCTCGTGGCACTGTGGGGCACCTATACTGAACCTCATCACCCGTGCAGTTTCCCTGGGAGTCCTGGAGCAAGGGGTGCTCTTAATCACCCTCTGACCCTACCAGGTCCCATCGCTCCCGGCACAGGCAGCGTCGGTTAAAAGGGGATAGGGCTCTGCCAAGTCTGACAGAGAAGACGAGAAATGCACAAATAACCTGGGTCAAAAGTCGTGCTAAAGGAGAGCCATAAGCTGGGTGGCGGAGTGCGGAGGGGGCCCACGGCGGCCAGCAGCGGTCAGGGAGGGCTCGGGCGCTCCGCAGGGCCTCAGCCCCACACCAGCAGGCGGAGAAGCGGGACCCTCGCGCTTGGGCTGAGGTCCTCCGGCCTGGGGTCTTGGGAACTCAACAGTCACCCAAGCGTCAGAAGTTCTGGGCTGTCCTGAAAGCCACTTCCCTGGGGACACCGCGAGGTAGAGTGTGCGGACAGCGCGCCGCTCCGCCACGGCCGCCACCGCTCCAGCTCTCGCGAGATCCGCTCGGCTCAGCCCCGCACGGCTCTTCCGGTGCGGCCCGGAAGCGGAAGTGCGCTCTCCGGTGTCGAGGCGGTGTCCGGCTCGGTGGTCGCTCCGGGCACCCGTCGCTTCTCCTGCCGGCTCCGGGGCGCATCCCGCGGCGGCGGGGCGCCGGGCGAGCGCCATGAGCACCATGTTCGCCGACACGCTGCTCATCGTCTTCATCTCCGTGTGCACCGCCCTGCTGGCCGAGGGTGAGGCCGGGACCCGCGGCGGCGGCGGCGGGATCCTCCGGCCTGCGGTGCCCGCGCTCGCCCCTGACGGACCCGCGGCCCTGGGCTCGGGTGTGGGAGCAGTCACTCAGGCGAGGGTGAGGCGCAGAGCGTGGGGGCCCCGCCCGGGCAGGCGCCGGGGCCTCCGGTGGCTCGTGGGTCAGGTGTCGCTTTTGACTTTCAGGCATCACCTGGGTCCTGGTGTACCGGACCGACAAGTACAAGAGGCTGAAGGCCGAAGTGGAGAAACAGAGCAAAAAACGTGAGTGCGCAGGGACGGCGGACGGGAGTTCGGGAGCCACGTTCCCAGGGTGTCGGGGGCCCGGCCGAGCGACGGCTTCGTAGGACACGAAAATAACGCAGCTTGAGTTGAAGTCTGTTTATGAGCCTGCACAATGAAACGTGGGCCGCGGTAGTGAGAGCTAGGGAAGGGGCCCACTTCTGTGGGCACTGCGAAAGGCCCCTGATGCAGATGACCCTGCAGGCCCTCGTGGATAGAGAATGAGGCGGGGGAAGGAAATTCCAGGTAAAGAAATATGGGAATTTTAATGTGTTAGGTATGTTTGAAGAATAGCAGGCCATTGTGACTAGTGTGGAGGTAAGTGATGTCTTCAGGATAAGCCAAGTTTTCAGGTGGGTGAGAAGGTTGAAGAAGTGTTTGAGGAAGAGATTGAAGTTTGTCTTCTCTGAAATCAAACAGGAATTCAGCATGACACAGCTGAGAATGTGATGAGAATGGTTTCTTATAGGCACAATTTGGCCTTCGATATTTTTTTCTTATTTCATTTGAGCAGCTGGCAGTGTTACTCAATGGGACACTGTTTGCCTGGCCTACACATGCTCAAGTGCTGAATCTGATCCCCAGCACTGTAGGCAAAAAAAAAAAAAAAAAAGATACCTTTGCTTATTTGATCAACATTATAAAAAAGGAGATTAAGTCTCAGAAAGCTAATGATATACTCAGAGAGAGCAACCAAAAGATGTAGAGACCAGGCCAGGTGTGGTGGTGCACGGCTGAAGGAGGATCTCCAGTTCAAAGCTAGCAAGAGGGAGCCGCTAAGCAATTCAGTGAGACCCTATCTCTAAATAAAATACCAAAAAAAAAATAGGGCTGGGGATATGGCTCAGTGGTGCAGTTCCTTTGAGTTCCATCCCACCCCTCCCCACAAAAAAACCCAAAAAGAATTAGAGACCAAACTCAGCACATACTCCTCCCCATCCTGCCCTGGAGGTGTGATTCCATTGCTGAAGGCCTCCTCTGGTTTCAATCCCAATGCCTTGGGGAGGGCAATTGAAGGAGGAGGATCTCATTTCTAGGCTAGCCTGAGCAATTTAGTGATACCTTGTCTCAAAAAAAAAAAAAAAAAAAAAAGAGGATGTAGCTCAATGGTGGAACACTTCTGGGTTCAGTCCCCAGTAGCATACACATAAAGACAAAAGACAGTCAAAATGGAAATGACCAGCTGGGTGTGATGGCATGCTTCTGTAATCCCAGCTACTTAGGAGGTTGAGGCAGGAGGATTGCATATTCAAGGCCAGTCTGGGAAACTGGGGGAGCCTTTCTCAAAATTAAAAAAAAAAAAAAAAAAAAATAGGGCTGGTGTTCAGTGCTGGAGTGCCCCTTAGTTATTTGTGGTACTGGGAATTGAACCCTGATATCCTCTACCACAGAGCAACATCCTCAGCCTTTTTATTTTTATATATTTTGAGGCAGGGTCTTGCTAAGTTGCTGAGGCTGGACTGGAGCTTGCAATCCTCCTACATTAGCTATCTTCAGAGTCATGAGATTATGGATGTGTGCCACCATGCCTGGCTAAGTCTTAATATAATATTTTATCAGTATTTGGTTATTGGTACTTATTATTATTGTTATTGTTATTATTATTATTAGCTCTACTACTAAGTTACAACCCCAGCCAGCTATTGCTTTATTCTTAGGATGTGGTTTCTGTGTTCTCTGTTGGCAGTTTCAGGAACAGGCTGGTTAACTTAATCATGACCATGGTCAAAGTCTGACTTTTTTAATAAGCTTCTTTGATTGACTCAGCTGTGAGAAAGCTGCCTTTGTTTTTTAAATATAATGCATAATTAGTTTTTACTGTTTTTCTCTGGTGTTCACAGTGGAAAAGAAGAAGGAAACCATAACAGAGTCAGCTGGTCGACAACAAAAAAAGAAAATAGGTGAGGTATTAATCTAAATAAAATTTAAAGATGGGAAAAAATTAATTTTTAGATGAAAATATATTAAGGTTTTTGATGGTATGCAAGGCCCTGGGTTTGATCCTTAGCACTGAAAAAATAAAATAAAGAAAATAAAAATGGCTAGAGATGTAGCTCAGTGGTAGAGCACCCCTGGGTGGTTCAATTCCAGTACCCCATCCTCACACACCCAAAATATGATTATCAAAGAGCTTTACCCATGTCGCCTTGTTTCTCAGAAATAGTGAATTACTGCTGTCCACTTTGTTTTGACTGAGAACTCCTTTCTTTTGGTTCATCACCATTATAGCCCTCTTTCCTTCAAAAACTATTTTAAAAAGGTGTGCGTGTGTGTGTGTGTGTATTTACATACATATAAATTTAAGCAAGTGAAAGTTTGAAAGCCAGTACTCTTTTCTGCTCTCACAGGACTTTGTCCCAAGATTTTCTGATTTAATGCCTTAAAGAAGGTATTCAACTGACCTAACTGGTCATTTATGCCACAGTTTATAGGAGAGCTTATAGATGGACTGCCTTTTGAGTTAGTGATGGCATGACAGGGATTGTGCGTTGGGGTTCTCCAGAAAGAACCAGTTGTATATATGTACAGATATTGAGATGGAATTTATTGGAAGAATTAGGTCACATGATCATGGATTTTGGTAGGTCTTCCCGTAGGCCATCTGCAAGCTGGAGAACCAGGGAAGCAGGTGGCGTGACTCAGTGCAAGTCCGAAGGCCTAAGAACTAGGGAAGCGGATGGTGTGACTCTTGATCTGAGGCCAGAGGTCTGAGAACCCAGGGGGCCACTGATGCAAGTCCTAGCATCCAAAGGCCAGAGAACTTAGAGTTGTGATATCCAAAGGCAGGAGAAAATGGGTGTCCTCCACTCCAGAAAAGAATGAATTTGTCTTTCCTCTGCCTTTGTGTTCTGTCCAGACCCTCAGCCCCTATGAATGGTCTCCACCTGCATTAGGTGGAATGTATCTTCCTTACTCAGTACATTGATTCAAATAACCATCTTTTCTGGAAAACTTTCACAGATCTCTCCAGATGACTTTGTTAGCTACCTGCATCCCTCAATCCAGTCAGGTTGATACCTAGAATTTACCAGCATGGGTTATGAATTTTCTTACGGCTGACTTTTCAGCAGGAGCTATAGCTGGAGACTTATCTTCAGAATGGGCTAAGAAAGGAAGGGCAGGCACTCAAGCGTGACTGAGTGAGGTGTACATCTTTTCCTTAGTGGCATGGAAATATGGGAAGATGCTTCTTAACTTTAACATATTTTGAACCCTGAATTTATATATTCTCTGTAGGCTTTTCTCTATGCTATTTTGATTGGTTGGAGGTTAATTCATTTTGTGGTCAGAATGGGTGCTGTCATTGCTACTAATTTATTCCAATGAATACAAGAAATGTAGCATTTTACAATTTTAAACTTTGCTTTTTGTTTTTTTTTTTCCTTTCTTGGTACTGGGGATGATCCCACGGGGGCTTATCCCCTGAGCAACATTCTCAGCCCTTTTTTATTTTGAGACAGGGTCTTGCTAAGTTCCCTAGGGCATTGCTGTCTTGCTGAGGCTGGCTTTGAATTTGTGATCCTCCAGAGTTGCTGGGATTACAGGCATGCACCACCATGCCTGGCTAATCTTCCCTTTTGTCATTTTGGATAATAAATAACTCTAGAATATAAATGTATCTTCTGCATATTTCCAGATTTTTTTCTTCATGAAATATGTTGACATTTTGTAGAGATTTTATTCCAAAAATTCATTGGTAAGAAGGTGCATAGAATTCTTCCCAAAAGGAATAGTTTTTCCTTTGGAAAATACTTGTTGCTTGTATTACATCCTGGGGTTCTTTCTAGGTCACATAGGTCCAGAATAATTCACATGGGACAAGTGAACACTAAATGACAACACTGTTTATCTCCAACACCCAGCATCTTTAAATCCTAGATTTTCAAAGGGAGGCACAGAGGTTTTGGATGTACATTTATTTCACCCTAATAGCTGAAAGAGATGGGAAGTGCAGCTATCTTGGATGACTTCGGCTCCCAGTACTGAGTTGTCTTTTTGCCTTAGGAGCAAAGTCCGTTATCTGTGGGTTCTTCAGCAACCCACCAGGATGCGAATGATATGAGATTAAGACCATCCTTACTTATTGAACAAGAGACAACTTTTTGAGAGAATTTATGCTAGTTAACTGATATTAACTAGCAGCTA